CTTCTTCTTCTTCTTCTTCTTCTTCTTCTTCTTCTTCTTCTTCTTCTTCTTCTTCTTCTTCTTCTTCTTCTTCTGTTGCATTTTTTATCTTATTAAAAGACACAAAATAATGGTTGTTTAATACAACTGCGGTTGTATGTAGCGCACAATCTAATTTATAACAACAGTCACCACGTCTGTTGTGATAATCAAAATACATACAGTCACACGTCTGTTATGATAATTAAAATACATACAATGCACGTGCTACCGTCATTATATGTGTCTCGCAACTGTTATTGTATGTGTATACCATAGTAGTGCCTTCAAACATAACTCCCACTGATGAGTTTTTTAGTTGGATAAATCAAAATAAGCTTATGAATTTTAACACTAATGGTAGCTATTATAGTTGAATAAAGGTGGTGCTTACTCTTATGTTAGTCTTGATATAGCCATTTGTAATCAAAATTGGCTAGAAGATTGGAACACTATCATTTGCTCCACTTTGATCAAGAATCACTCAAACCATTGATAAAAAGCGTTGTTCCTATTTACAACAGTGCAGAAATATGCATCGCTTTAAAGCGCTGTCTATGGCAAAAAAACGTTGTCTATGACAAAAAAAAGTATTGTCTATTCTCTTCTATGATGTAATGACTTTATGTTTACGATAGTAAGAAATATAAATATGACTCGGTTATGAGAGTTAACAAAAAAGAAGAAGAATAAAGACGTTTCTAATATAATAATATAAATAAGACTTTTGAAACTATTAAATAGCATTTGAAATATTAAATAAATTTTAATGTTGATTTAACTATTTTAACCATCATAACATGATAATCATAGTAGCGGTTATTTGTTGATTAAAACCGTTAAATAAATGTTAATATATTTCGGTCAAAGAAAGTTGAATATATTTATTATTTAGTTTAATTTTTTTAATAAGTCAAAAATATAAAAATAAAAGAAATATAAAATACTATGAACATACATTATCCCCAACGATATTAAATTGTGACGTGATTATCACATGACTAAAAAAAGACTGTTGTGATTTGATAATCACGTCACTATAACCTTATATATTAAAAAAAATAAAAATAACATTCATATGGAGGAATTCTGTTATTTTTTTTTTAATAAAATTATTTGCGACGTGAGATTCACGTCGCTATCAAAAAGTTAATATAAAAAAAAACTCTAACATTCAGAAGAAGGAATTTTAAATTTTTTTTTTTTAAATTTAGTTGTGACGTGTTTTTCATATCGCCATATTTAAGGGGGGAAATTATTTGTTTTTGACTTGACATGTTATAGTATCGTGCAGACTGTCCTCATACTTTTATTACCGTTAGGTGTGTTGCGACGTGAAAATCATGTGACAAAGTTGTGACGTGATTTTCACGTCGCTACGTGGCGTATATAGAAAACGCGTGCACAAATTCATCCATATCCCTTCTGTTTCATCTCTTTGAAAATTTTCTCGTGTGTTTCTCCTAAAATCTTTCAACCTTGTTTATATTTCTCCAAAACATTTCTAAAGCTACAATTTTAGTGATACAGATAATTGTATTATATGATTTAATTTCAATATATTAATATAATTTTGTTCATTGTTTATTATATTGACTAATACTAATTTTAGTTTAATTTATTTTATCAAAATTAAAGAACATCAAAGAGTTTAGAAAAAGATTGAAGAAGGTTGTTTGAAGGAGAATAAAGAAGAGGTATTTATGCAATTTTATATTTTATTTTATTTTATTTTATTTTATATATAATTTATGTTTTATTCTGTTTATAATATTATTATAATTTTTTATTCTTTTAATTTATAAATTATTTTTAATTTATATATATATATATATATATATATATATATATATATATATATATATATATATATATATATATATATATATATATATATATATATATATATATATATATATATATATATATATATATATATATATATATATATATATATATAAATTTTTTTTTATATATATATATTAAAAGAATGATATCTTTATTAAATATAAAAAAAATAAAAGCTAAAGAAAGAAAATGTGTTAAGTGTAATAATTAAATAAAACAATTTATATTACGTCACAATTTTGTGACATAAAAATCATGTTATAAATAATTTGTCATCCGCTTTCAGTGACATGATCGTGTACGTCATAAATAATTTATTGTAATATGATTTTTTAAATTGTAACGTGAAGATTCATGTCGAATATGAGAATTTTCTTTTAGTAATATTCACATCTAAACTTAAAATTTCAGGAAGCAATGAATATAACAAAGAAGCCAACAGGATACATTTTCATGGTCTTCCTTTCCTTTTTCAATAGTCACCCACTTAAAATGTTATTGTGGAAACAAATACAAATACAATACAAAGAATCCAAAACAAAAAAATAGCCAAATCTCTTTATTAAAAAAGAGAAAAGTAATGTACAAATAGATAGAGACAGCCATAAACTTAAACCCAACTAAAAAAACAGAGGAAAAAATAATAATAACACCCAAAAAAATATTTTAAAAAACAAAACAAAAGGAAAAGCCATAAATAAATAAATAAAAATCAATATGGTTGTTTTTCATTAACAACATCAACACTAGCGCCGCAAGACAAGAATTTATGAAAAATCCGAAACAGCGTATTACAAGAAATTTCCCTCATTTTCCTCAAAACCAAACACTTCCTTCTCCTACCTTGATTTCGTTTCTTCCTTCCACCACTACCACCGCCGTGAGCCACTTTCTCTTTCACCCTTCCAAAACATTTCTGGGTTTTCTCCGGCACAGTTTCTTTTCTCGAAAACGTATAGCTCTTTAGATACATCTGTCTGCATGAGATACTATCCACCACCCTCGGATGACCATGAGCGCCGTTTAAGCTCACCGATTTGACAAACTCTGCATCCGATTCCGGCCATTTGTAGAGGTTGACGTAGTTGGCTCGAACCGGCACGCGTGGGTCACGTGCGTCGTTGACACAGTTTGATATGCAAACAGAACTCATCTTCTGTTTTTTGTTTTGAGAGACTCTACTAGTCTGGTTTGGTTTGGGTTTTATAATTTGAAAAAGGAAATTAATTAGTGTAATTAATTAAAACGGAAAATTAATTAATTGGTTAATTAATGATATTATGAGAGGACATTAAAGGCTTGGATTGCAAGAAAAGCGTGGGGAAAGGGTGTGAGAGAGAGAGGGGTCATCATGTTAAGTTATCATGTGTGATGATTTGCAATTGCAATGACTGTGTTTTTATTTTTTTATTTTTTTATTTTATTTTTATGTTTGTGAGTATTATGAATTGAATGCGTAGAGTTAGATGGCCTAAAGTAATTTCAGATTAATCTGCGTATTAAAATGGGTTTTGTGAAGGTATAATCACGTTCTTTTAATGGATTTTTGTGATTTCTTTTACTTCTCCTTTTGTTTGCATATGATGACATGAGATATTCTACCAATTGAATTAACTTAAGAAAAATCATTTCAATCCCTTATCATGTTTTATAAGCGTAAAAATAAGGGCACGAGGTTAGAGCGAGAGAATAAAATCATGTATAATCATGTCTTATTAAAATAAATCTAGGTATAATTTTTTTTTTACGAGAAGCCAATTTAATTATGCCGATTAAAGTATACTGATCACTTCTGTCCTCAAGATCATTGGGCAACAACTCATACTCCTCGCGAGGAGACAATCTCACTGCACGAGGATAAACCCAGTCAATCTTAGGAAGATCATCGTCGGTCAGGAGGACCTCGAGGTCACCCTCTGATCCTCTCTCCGACCAAGACTGATCCCCTCACACGACCTCGAGTCTGGCGGGGAGCATCCACGACGAGCAGTAGCGCCTCACGAGCATCTTCCTCGTAGAGCTGACTGTCAACGTCTCCGAATATTGCGAAGTCTTCGTGGCTCCGAAAAGGTTGCATCCATATCCTCCTGATCTTGTGGAGGAAGTCATTCAGGTGGGAGACCACATGCGGGTCCCCACTACTCACGTAGAACCTGGCAGTCTCCACTTTGGACCTATTTGACCAGCCCAATGAGGAGACCTTGGCCCAGCGTTGGAGGCTATAAATACCCTCTCTTTCGAGAGGGTCAGGTATTGAACATTTTTCTTACTCTCTTGCTTGCTAGCTCATTCCGTATCTCATTTTAGCATCAGAGTATCTTGCAGATACCCCCACCTCAATCTCAAATTCTGTTCGAAGTAAGCTGTGATGGTTCATTCTGGTCAGCTACGATCAGTGGCGCCGTATGTGGGAAACACTGCTTCCCCGTCTCCATTCACCCAAGACTAAAGCTAATCTAACTCTCTTTCTGACTGTCATGGCTGATCACACGGCAAAAAACAACCTGAACGCCCATCTCGCCGATGTCAACAACAACATCGCCGACCATGATACTGACATCAACAATGCTGGTCCTGCTGGCCTCAACGACAGTAACAATAAAAACACTGGCAACAGCAACAACGGCCACGCTGGGGGCCGCCCGGCCCCTCGGAATACAGAGACGGGTTGACTGCCTCTTTGTTATCACTGTCCCGACGACTCGAAGACGAATGTCGTCCTCTCTAGAACTATCAGTCGCCCGTATTCTAGGAGGTCCCCGTTCCTACGGGTGCTGATGCCACGACCAGGGCGTTGTTCGCGGCAATAAATCAAACAAACTACTTAATCTTTTCGCAAGGGGAGAGATTAAGGGCGCTCGAAGATTCTCGGGGAGCCCCCAGAAGACATAGGAGGCCTGATTCTCCTCCTCCTCGTCAGATAGAGGACCGTCCCCAATCTCCCCCGCAGAGACGCAGACAAGATGCCTCTCAAAGGCCCTCTCCCTAACCAATCGGGCGACGCCCCGTGTTGGAGAGGGATCAACCTGTGGATACGGGGAGACGAGATCACGTCCCCCCACATCAAGAGTAAAGACCCCCTGGAAACAAGAACAATGGAAATTATGAATGACCACACCGCCCGAGGAATCCTCCGCGTGATTGAGGCCTTCATCATGACCGCCACTACAACAGGTCTCCTTCTCGATCTCTAGACAAGAGCGACAAAGACGAGCCCCGCGGTCCCCTATCACAAGCTATTATGGAGGCACTCATTCCTCCGGGTATGGAGAAACCTCCCCATCTTAAGGAGTACAATGGAATTGCCGATTCAGTCGACCATATTGACGGGTTCGAGGTAATGCTGCATTATCATAACATCGAGGGACCAATCAAATGTCGGTTGTTCCCCACGACTTTGAGAAAAATTGTGATGGACTAGTATATGAGCCTCGCCCCAGGGTCAATCACCTCTTGGAGGAATTTAAAAAACCAGTTCATCAGTTCATTCACTGTCTCACGTCGACATCTGAAGACTGAGGCAGCCCTTGAGGCCATCTTCCAAAGAAACGATGAGACCCTCAGGGAGTTCATTGATTGATTCAACCACAAGGCCATCCAGGTCCTCTATACCGATCATATGAAGAGATACTTGCTCGATAGGGGACTCCTCCCTGGCACGGAGTTCAAAAAATTCGTTGGCATCGAACCACCGCGGATATTCGATGCTCTCCTCGACAAGGCTAGGGCCTACATAGACTATGAGGAGAGGGAAGCGACCAATAGAGCCTGGGACCCAAGGAATCGTGGATCAACAAGCAATCCGCGACAACAAGATTCGGTCCCTCCTTGATGAACGTGCGAAAAGAGGGGGGATGACAAACCACATGATCCTCGCAAGCAAAGAGGGCCTACGGGGCGATTTACTGAGTACACTCCATTGATAGCTTCCTGCGAGCGCATCTTAGCAGAGTGTGCTAGTACCGATTTCAAGGAAGGAGGTGTCAGGCGTTCTTTCTCTACTCCTGCTAAGCCCAAGGCTGATCGGAACAAATACTTACAATATCATCAAAGTCATGGACACCTGACTGAATACTGTGTCCATCTTAAAGATGCTATTGAGACCCTCATTAAAAGGGGGAAGACTCGGGAGATATCGGCGCAGCGACGCCCCTCGTCGAGATGCCCACGACACAAAGGAGATTGAGGAGGATGCCCGACCATCAGACGAGATGGTCCCTATCCAGACAACATTCTCCGTTACAAGACTGGAGGACTTCTATGTCCCCGACGATATCTAAAATCCTCTGCCCATGCACAATAGGTAGGAAAGGTTCCCCTCCTCCATGGTCATAAATGGCGGGGGGTTCAACGATATAACTATAAACTCCGCAAACAGGAAACTGGACGAATTGATCGACGTGGCCTCTCACAAATGGTGACATTTGAGAGGGTTAAGGGAAGATCAGGGCCGGTCACATTCTACCTCGAAGAATTTCCCGGAGGGCCCCCCAACTCAAGCATTCCCCTTCTGGTTAGGACGAGGATGGCCAATTTTGACGTTCATCGCGTCTTGGTCGGCGAGGGGAGTTCCGTCGATGTAATGTACAACCAACTCTTCTGAACCCCACAGCTCGACGATACCCACCTTTCACTATAGTGGGGTCCGACCTGCAGGGCTTCAACGGCTCGACCTCCAAACCTTAGGGGTACGTGGATCTCTTTGTCACCTTCAACGAGGATACCACTACCAGGCAGGTCAAGGTGCGGTTTATGGTTATCGACTTCCCGTATCTCTACAATTGTATCCTATGGAGACCAACACTGGTGGAACTGACCATTGTTCCCTCCACCGTCCATCTGAAGATGAAATTCTACACAAAGAGAGGATGCGTTGCCACCATCCAAGGCAACCTAGCAGCCGCCCAAAGATGCTTCAATGCGGAGTCAAAGGGACAGAGCATGGTCGACGCTGGAGCACAACCCTCCAAGAGAGCTGTTACAGCACGACCGGAGCCACAGCCCGTCAAGACAGAAGAACATAGAGCTCTTCCAAAGGTCGACTCCATATCGCTGGACACCTGTTTCGATCAGGATGAAGCACCCAACGGCGAGCAGGGACTCCTCCGACCAATCCCGGATGGAGACTTTGAGCTCGTCCCCCTCAGTGAAGACCCTCACACAAGCGTGAAGATCGGCACCGGACTCCCTGACCTGGCGAGGAAGCAGATCAAAGCTTGCTTGAGGGAGAATGCAGACCTGTTCACGTGGAGTACTATAGAGATGCCCGGTCTTGACCCCGAGGTCGCCTGTCACCAACTAGCCATTAATCTAGCCGCTAGGGCAATAGTACAACATAGGCGTAGGCAGTCTCCCGAGAAAGCGGAGGCTGCTGAAAATGTTGTAAAAGACCTCCTAGAGGAAAATTTTATTTTCGAGACCATGTATTCAACCTGGCTGTCAAATGTTGTACTAGTTAAAAAGAATAATGGAAAATGGCGTATGTGTGTTGACTATACCGATCTTAATCGGGCATGCCCCAAAGATGCATTTCCCTTGCCTAATATTGACATGTTGGTCGACAACTCGGGCGGTTATAAAATTTTATCTTTCATGGACGCCTACTCGGGCTACAACCAAATTCTGATGGTGATGAGCGACAAGCACTGCACCGCTTTCATGACCAGCTCGGGCAATTATTACTACAATGTAATGCCCTTCGGTCTGAAAAATGCAGGGGCGACATACTAGCTGATGATGAATAAAGTCTTCCACAACGAGATCGAAGATATGCTCGAGGTATACATGGACGACATGATCGTCAAATCTCGAGCATAGGCCGACCATGCTGCCCACCTTAGAAAGGTCTTTGCCCAAGCGGGACAATGTAGAATGAGGTTCAATCCCGAGAAGCGCACATTCGGGGTTAAAAAGGGCAAGTTCCTCGATTTCTACCTAACAGAATGGGGAATTGAAGCCAACCCCGATAAGTGTTGAGCATTCTCTGAGCTACATACACCTAGTTCGAAGAAATCAATACAAGTATTAAACGGAATGCTCATGTCGCAATCCTGCTTCATGGCGAAATCCGTACAACATGCCCTTCCATTTTTCAAGCTCCTGCGCAAAGAGGCAACTTTCAAATAGACCGAGGAAATGCGAGCAAGCCCTCCT